GGGGATGTGGGGGTGTCACAGCGCGTGGGTTTGGCAGCACGCGGGGCAGAGCGCCATCAGCGCACCAGTGGTGTAGTGGTATCATGCAAGATTCCCATTCTTGCGACCCGGGTTCGATTCCCGGCTGGTGCAAAACGTCCACCACTTCCTATGGCTTTTAAATACTCTAAACGAAGATCAGCTGCCATATATGTGGTTAAAGTGCCCTTTTTAATTTTTTTTTTTAAATTATTATTTTATCTTGTCCCGAGGTCTGCCGCTGTTGCAGCCACAGCTGGTTGCAGAGAGGGGGGCCCATCACCCCTCCCAGCATCACCCCAGTGCTCCGTGGCTATCCCGGGCTTGGAGGGCAGGAGGGGATTTAGGGACCCTTTCCCCTTCATTGGGGTCTTCTCTGTTGCTTTTTCTGCTCTCTCCTTCCTCCCCTCCCCCCAAATAGGAACCCCCCTCCTTTACAGAGACACTGCCGGAGGGTACCGCTGCTCTCAGCAGCACACAGCTGCTCAAAGCTCCCCTGTGCGCCAGGATGGGAAACAGATCTTTTCTCTACAAGGTGCAAGTTTTTGGCTATTTCTGAATATTTTTTAATGAAAAAAAAAATCTTTCAGCAGGTATCCACTCCTTCCAGAGCACTCCAGGCCCGGGCATCTCTCTCATCACCTGCCCAGGCATTGGGGTCGGATATTCGTGCCAAAACCTCCCTGTGTCGCTCAGCATGTGGGGCTGTGCGTGTGCACCCCCTCCTCTGTGGGTTCTCCCCATCCTTCCCTCGGACACGGCTTTTCCCCCTGCAAAAAGGAAGGGAGCGACTCCGTAGGGAGAGGGAGACTGTGTCCCCATGTGTCCCCCAGGCCCCGAAACGGGGTCCGCCAGTGCTCGGCTGCCCTGAAGGTGTCCCGAAACATCAGCGCTCTGTTGCAGGACTTAATGGTGCCTCACTAAGCTGAGCCAAAAATCAGGGGGGACGCTTGTCCCAGTGAGGAGCCTGATGGATACCGGGACCTGGCAATGTCAGCTCGCTGCAGCAAAGAGTGGGTGGCAAGTGGGGTCCAGTGTCCCCCCAGTTACCCAGACCAGGGTGTAGGCACCCACTCGAGGACTCATTAAAAAGAAAATATATAAATCCATATAAAACAAACACATCCATATGAAACATACACATCCATAGGAAACATATCCATGCATATAAACCATACACATCATTCTAAAATGCACGCATCGTTATAAAACATACACATCATTATAAAACATACACATCCATAGAAAACATATACATCCATGGAAAACACATGCGTCCATATAAACCATATACATCCAGACAAACCACATAAGCTCTGAGGAGCTTATAAATAACCAATAAAAAAA